GGAACCTGTTAAATCCGGACCCTGAATTCCTCCTCTCGATCTCTCGCTCTCTCGCTCGCCGGGGTGTGGTTCCTTCGCGTACGGGCGGGGCCAGGATCACCCCACGGGATTAAGGACTTTGGACTTGGTTGGATTCGGGAGGCTCGCACGCCCGTCTCCGAGATACGTGTCCTGCCGGTGTCCGCCCGCACGCGTTTCCACGTTCGTGTACGTCTTGTATGTCGCGATGCGATACGTCGGATCGACAATGAAGAACGAGAAACGAAAAAGTGTCGGGGCGGGAAAAGGCGTTAAAACAACGCGGATGTACGTATACGCGTGTACATTCCTCTTTGCTTTACGCTTCTTTCGCGTATATTCTCACGGGTGTATGTCATCTGTACGCCGTCTATCGCGTACCGTGTGTACGTACGTACGTATGTATGTATATGTGTGTGCGCGCGCGCGCGCGCGGCCGATTACATGTGTGCAGTCGAATCTGTAGCAGCGCGAACGCGGGTGTAGGGCGCGATGACGGTAGGTTGGGTATATGTTAGTGATCAGGACCGACGGCGGGGTGTGTGTATGTGTATGTGTGTGAAGGTTTCTGGAAGAGAAGTGGATCAGGATGAGGGGGATCGGCCTAGAGACGAGGTCCTGCCTTCGCTAGGACATTGTTATTCCTAGTAGCACGTCGCGACGAAACCCAGCCGCTGCCAGCTCGATCCACCCGCGGCGGCCACCCCCGCCTATCTTCGCCGATGTCGGTTCCCTGGTCAGGACCCGCGAAGGTCCCTCACCAGAAGGATTTCTCGCCGCTGCTCCGCCTCAGTCACGTGTCCGGTTGTACGGCGACATCACGCGTCAAGGTCTCGATTATCTACGATCCCCCTTCGTCGAGAGATTGGCGTTTATCACGATTTCCTCTCATCCGTCATTGATTCACCTGGCGTGTAACACCAGCGGCACTGAGAATCAGCGGATTCTGCGGAATACCCGGGCGCTCGCGTATCCGTTTCCCCACAGTTTCCGTTCCGTGGGAGTGCGCGCGCGCGCGCGCGCGCACCAACGTTGCCGGGATAATAGTCAGATCACTGAGTTTCGATGGACGCGCGGAGATAACCCCCGGAGATGATGAATCCGCGACCTTCAGCCTCGACCTTCGCGATCGATGGCGCGGGCGAGCTAGTCGAGCGCGTGCCGCTCTCCGCGGCCGCGACGAATCCTCGCGACGATGAACACCGGTGGATCGCTGCTTCGTCACTCGCGTTTCACTGCTATTCGCGTGCACACGAAAACCTCACGTACATCGATATCCGGGGCGGGTGACAACAGAGATCGCGTCACCAGCGTGAAGGGATCGCGCGTGACTCGGCGCCGCGATCTTTCCTATGTCGCGAGTCACAAGCTGCTGCTCTTCACGCCTCCTCCTCGAGACGCGTCTTCGCAACGATGCGGTCAGACGCTGCCGGAGTGTCAGGGTACCATGACGGAGGCCACGAAGAGAGCGCGAGGAGCGAAACACCGCGCCTGCGACGACGCTCGGACGTCCGAGCCTCGCGGCACGAGGACGAGACGACGCGGACGCACGCGAATTTCACCAGGTCGCTCGTTGCCGCCGATCGCGCAGCCCTGAAGAACACGTAACGCGCCGCGAGGGAGTACACCGAGGTGCCGCTTGCCTGGCGATGCTGCGCGGCGCCATGACAGCGTTAGCTTCTCCACCATCATCCCCACTTACAAACAACCCCCCTCCACTATCGTCGCACCCTCCTACCCTCGTGCCGTTAGAAGCCCCCTGCTACTCGCATGCCCCTCGCGTCTACCTCCTCCTCCCATCCCTGCACTCACCGATACCACCGGTTCTACCGCGACGACGCTCCCCACGTTACCTCTCGCCCAGTTTTAACCCTCCGCGGCTCCATAACCCCCTTGCCGCCCCTCGTGGCCGACTATCCTGCCTCGGCCCCACCAACGTAATATTGATCGGGCGGAAGGGCGGCATCCAGGAGCGTAAGGATTTACCGAGAACACCCTGGGGCGACCATCGTCGGCGCCCCGCCTTTAACTCATTTCTGTTTTCTTGGTTTTTCTCCCACAGTTCTTTTGTTCGTCCTATACGCACGGGCTATTCTATAGGATTGTTTTTTCACGGGACGTTCTTTCGTTAATATTTTCCCTACCTCGAGGGCGCTCGTTTCTCGGAGGGAAGACGGTGGAAATCGCCGGGATGTCACAGAAGCCGCACGTGGAGCGCTGCGTGCGGATGAAACCCGAAATTTTGGAGTTGCGGATTTGCATAACAAAAGTATAGTCCTTCGTGGACGATTAAAACTTACCTTTACGAATATTTATTGGAATTGCATTCGATATTAAATAATGATTAAACAATAAGTTCAGATAAATACCAAGAAATGTCACGTTCTGGAAATAAAGTCCGAAAGCATTTGGTTTAAACATGAATTGAAAAATTGATAAAATTTAATAAATATTCCATGTTCCCTCTTAATTAATTACCTCTGTAGTCTAATTATTCTACCGCTGCTTCAAAGTCACGGTTAACTTTAAAATGACTTTGCTATCGTTGATAACTTCATTTCGATTTACGCCAATTTGGGCGCAGAGAAAACTCGTTACAGAGTTCAGTTTATATAGACCGCCACGGATAGAAGAACTTGGGGTTTGTCTTTTAAAGCCAACGCGGGTTGCCAGAGGGGGAGAAACTACGTTTTGTCTCGGGATGACGCTCAGTTTTATGAGACCCCCTGTCATCGACCGTGATTAAAGGACGGAATTAAATCACGTTTTAGCCCCTGACATTGAATAAACTCGTGAACTATAAAAACATATTATTCTTCTCTCTCCGTCGACGTGTGTATCCCGATAAAAATAATCGGGGATATTTTGGACGAGTGTATCGCTATATTATCCCCGTCGAATGTAACTGTGGGAAACGAGGCGCGTTTCAGAATGTAAGGCAAGGCTACAACCAAATGTCTTTCAGGAGTCGTATTTCGATAGCAATCGTGTCGACCGAGATGGCGAGACTCGGGGATGGAGATCGAGGGTGGACGAAATGTGGAGATTTTATTTTACAGTTTCGATTCACGCTTGTGAGGAGAATGGTGAGATACAATTTTTGGATTTTCATCATTTTGCCATCTGGTACATTTGTGTAATCTGCACGTATACTATATGAGAAAAAAAAAGAGAGAAAGAAAGAAAGGGAGAAAGAGAAATAAACAAATATTTGCATAATTTCTTCGCTGAGTGTATACGATTTTCCCCGTCATCACCGTCGTGGAAGACGGGAGAGAAAACGGCAGCCGAAGGCAAGTCCAAGCGCGATGCTAAATTTAATTAAGCACGCATGGGACTTCGCCCGTCGAAAGCCAAGTATAGCTCCTTTCTTAATTTATTCATCCTTGCTGGAAGAGGGGCGTCGTCAGCGCCGGCGAACGTTATTTCGCGAATCCTTCCCCGAAGGTTCTTCGTTTAGGCAGCTGCGGGTGCGATAATATTGTCGCGGATACGTTACCGTAAATAGAGCGTCATAAAATTTTTATATGATTTTGTGAACACTTTTTAACTTTGTACTTACACTTCGTTTACGCCGGATCCACTGTTACTATTTCAACAGAGCGATTTTCACTTTTAATTTAATATACATCTTTTTGACACCAGATTTAATTATGTATGTTCATTCCCTCCAGTATGGCCTCCAACATCGAAGCGCACATGTTAGAATTAATATGCATATGCATATGCAACGGAAAATAGGTAATATTAATAACACATCTACTTGCCATCGCGATCAAAGGAACTATTAGGCCACAAATTTCACGGTTCGCCTTCGCAAAAATATTAATACGCGCCTTTCGAGAGCCAGTGCCCGGAGCAATAATTTTGCACATTCTCGATCGAAAATAATTTACATAAAAATATGAGAAGAACTGTATCGTAGCCCGTAGCTATGCTGATATATATTTTTCGAGGAAAATGCAATTTTAATTTCAAAATTAAAGAAGCACTGAAAAAATATATGAAATTATAATAATATATGAAAAGAATAATTATCGTCATCAAAGGGAGATATTTTATTTTAAGGCAATTGAGTAATAAATTTAGTTGCCGTTATTATTAATCTCCTTGAATCTGAAATAATATTTCTATCACGGTGTCGCTTTCATCTTTTACATCTAATCCGGGCCATCTTTACAATTGCAATGCAGAGATGCACGTAAGTGTTGTTGCACATTCTAAGCGCAGGATAAATCGCGCTGCGTGATAATGGAATGCAAAAACTTTCGTTGTTCCGGCGCTCTCGATACAAAAGCGTCGAATACCGGCTCGCGTCGGAATTGTTTCGAGCACTTTACAAGAACGAGCGAACTTTTCGAGGGCCTCGAGAGAAGAAGACGTTCCATGGCATCACGCTGCTTGTTGTTGCCTCGATAAATTTTAGATACGATCGAGTGTTCGCGAAGTACAAGAACGAGAGGCACGTTCGTCAGACGACGGAAAGTAATTATGGTCTTTTCCGCAGTCTTTACGGATTTCTCAAATCTCAAATTAACCGAATAGCTTAGTGTCATATTGATTATCTCACTGTAGCATTTTCAAATTCGAAATAGAAAGTAATTCAGATTGGTAAAAAAAAAAAAAATATCGAGATCTTTCGGAAATATCTAGAATCTAAAAATTTTCATATACCGTATTCGGTAAAATTAATGATTTTTTTGAATTATGTTTCATGTGTAATTGGATCCAGTTCAGGATTTATTAGTGCAGTGTATCTTTGTATATTTGTATGAAATGAAATCGAATCTATGTCTAGAATAACGCGGGTTAAATTTAATAATCATTCTATGTTTCTACCAAAGTCGTCCGTACATTTGCTTAAAATTGCAGATCTCCATTAAGAGAACCACGAACAATTTCCAAATTCAATCTACGTTAAAGCGATTATTACCTTTAGAGGTCAATCTTAATGAACCTCTGTATTATTAACTGAAACTTACCCTCGGAGCGCGTTAGGATCCCGGAGGCCGCTTCAGGATCTGAAACAAGAAGAAACAACGGCTGGGCTTAGAGACGTGATACCGTGAAAGTCGCGTTAGAACTTTTGCAATTTACAGTCTGGAAAATCCCCGTAAGAGCGATCGCGTGACCAGAGAAAGGGTAGGGAGTAGGTATGAGGTTGGTGGAAGTAGCTGAGCACAAAGGCAAGGATGCACGACGGTGTCGAGGAGGGTTTTAGACTGAGAGAAGAGGTGGGAACGCGATAGGACAAACGAAAAAAAAAAGAAAAAAAAAGAAATTGCCGGCGCGAGAGTCCTTGGATTCTCTTCGATTTGGCAATCCGGTTACACCGAGCCTTAATCGAGAAAGATCGCGCTCTTTTCCTCGTTTTGGGCGATTGAGGGGAGATTACCAGTAGAGATCCGAATGGATAATCAGCACTCGATGATGTAATCAATTTTAAACGAACGATTGTATGAAGCACCGTTATCCTAATTTAAGTATGATCTTATTCGGAACGAAATGCTGAAACTGCTACGTAAAGGACCGTAAAAAGTGCAATATATGCGAATCGCTTATAAATTTTATTTTAGATCCTTTCATTTTATAGTTTGCGTATACATGGCGAATACGCGCACGCTTGCAATTCGTTAGATAAGTTTTCATAAGGAAAAGTGAAATTTTCAGATTTCTGAGTTTAGTTCGACGTTGCAAGCTTTCAAAGTTTCAATATTAATTTTTTATAAAGGCAAACGCAAAATACGTCCTGTATATTCGCTATTGCTACGAAAAAATTGGTGCACCAGTTTTGATGGCATTCTGAGGACATTCTTGCCCCACATTAGTAACATTTCTTTCTAGGCAGAGTGCGTAGGGTAGGTAAGAGGAAGACGGCGATGGCGAGAGAACGGTCGATATACTTGTCACGGCCAGACTGTTCAGTCGTTAGAAGGGAAAAAAGCGGAGAACGAGCGAGACTGCGGGAGCAAAGCTCTGAAATTCAGACGAAAACCGTGTCGAGAAGGGATATAGACCCGCAATAAGAGCGGAAAATGGAGGACTTAAAACGCGGAATTCCTCCCCCTCCTCATTCGCTCTCTTCTCGCTTTTTTTTTCTTCACACTCACTACTGAAAATGTATGTTTTAAAATGTATGTTTTATCATATTTCAAAATGTCGAAACACACCGCGTGCGTAAATGCATTACTTTTTTTTTTTTTTTTCAGAAGAATGGTCTTGCAGAGAGGACCGATAATAAAGTAATTCACGTCGCCGCCATTCGTGGATATCGATCTGTTTAGGGAGGAGAACTCGGTCACGAAGGTCCGTAAATCGCGCCCCCGTAGATTATTCGCTCGGAATCGCAGAATATTCGGTCGCTGGAAATAAACGAACGCGGCGTACAACGACGGCCCGGACGCGGCGCGGCGGTTTCGTCGTCCAGGAAGCGTTTCCGGCAGGGAAATGCTAACCGTAAATTGCTAAATAGCTGCACTTAACGAACGGAGCTGCCGGACGGATATAAAGAAAACCAATATATTTTACGGGACTCTAAAATTCGCGCGTATAAGTTTGTTGATACGAAAATGCTTTTTGCGAAATCCGTCGTCTCTTGCGAGAGGTATTCGAATGTACTCGTGATATTTCGCCGTACTAAAAGTATAAACATTTTTCTACAATTCTCTGCTGTTAAATGTCTTATCCAAACTGTACCGATATGCTATTTTATGGTCGCTGAGGCAACCGTATCCTGTATTTATTCAATGGAACCAAAGTGTAAAAGTTAATTGCTGATATTTTTACAATTATAGAAACTTGAAAAATTACGAATAATTAACGAGCATGATTAAAATTTTATCAAGAAAAATGACGAGGTCTAAATTAAGCCTGAATCTATACTTTAAAATCACGATTGTTTTGAATCGCTTTGCATAAAAGATAGTGGCGGAATCTCTGAATTTTATGGAAAATATACGAGAACATAATTCAGGAGATCGGTGAATAATAAATTATTAAACCTTATAGTAACAACGAACATCAAGAAGCACTTCGACAAAGTTATATTATGGCATAAACTTTAAAAGTGAGAACGGGGAATAGAGAGAAGAAACGAACTTTATGTCGCGCGCGCGGGCGATTGTTAAAAATAGTTTCATCGAAGCGTTAATGTGATTGCAAATGTTTGGAATGGCACGGATAGTTTATCATAAATGTCACGTCTATATTTTATAAATGCGAGCCGAGGCGACAAAGTCCGCGGAGACGTGACTTTAGAATTCCGCGAACTCCATCCAACTCTCATTTGCACCGAGAGTACACTGAAACTACAACGAGACGCGATGCTTTCTTTTGAAATTCATGCGGTGCCTGGTTAATCGAACGCGAGCTGCCACCAGCTATTAAACTTTATAAAGATTGTCAATTATTGCACAATTATTGCAGGGTAAACATTCACCGTAATTCGAGCAAGAATCGTCGGGATACCCCTTGATCTTCTCTCATTGCCGGGGCTTCTAAATTGGATCTAATTCCATTAGAAATAAACAGATTCTATCAAAGAGAGAGAGTTTCGTCCCTTCATCATTCACTCTTGATATCTCGACATCATTCCGTAGTAATGTCTAGTGATTCTCGTTTGCATCTGTCTCCTTCACTGTCAACATGATCAAATTGGAGTATCATTCTTTCCATGCTTCCCTCTTTTTTCTCATGTAATGTCGCGGAAAGAAAAAGGGAGGAAAAGGGAGGGCCTCTTTCGGCCTACGCTCTCCCGATGTGACATGTCGAAATTGGCCTAAGCTTCTAGGCGGAAGAAATCGAAGGATGGAAGTGATTTGCCTCGAGGGCTTAGTGTCTTCCCCTACAGCCTCTTCGAAATCGAAGAGAAATCTAGGAAACTGCAGGTTCAAATCTAATCGTCCGCTCGCCCGTCCCGTGAGAAATGTCGTCGAGGAGCTACAAGACTCGACTTGAGAACTTCTGGCCTACTACTACTTGTCGAATCCCGCAGTTCCAATCTTCCGGTGAAACACGAGGCTTCCGAACGTTCTTAAAAGTTCTTAAAGTTTGATCGGTAAGGAAAAGAAAAAAAATGACAGGCGACCTAATCATCTATAAAATTACAACCGCGCGGCGTCTCGTTAAATCTCATTTCCGTCTAAATCCAGATGGACGAGGATGGACGAGGTGCAATGAATCGTACTCGCCGCAAGCGCGGCATGGATTTAAATCGTTTCCTCGATACGCGCCGAAGTTAGAATGCACTGGCGTCATCGGGTATTGCGGGTATCGACAAAGGCAGCCGGTTCTAACTTTAGCGTGGCGAGGGGTGTGTGCGACGTTGCGCCGTTGTGTCGGTCGTGTCGGTACGCGAGAGTCGAGACGTACCGTAAGCCTGTGTGACGGCACGGGGACTCTAATTTTAGATAAATCCATTCGCCAGCCAATATCAATCTAAACTCATCCGCTGTGCAAAGGGAACCGCGCGAAGGGATCCGAGCTGCATGATCTGGAGGGCTGGCGACGAGAGCACGACGCTCTCTCGGTCTACCCGAAACCTCCGCACACGCGCGCATGGCCGCCTCGTGTTTACATCAATGATCTTCATGCGGCGGGTCGGATATGAACATCGAATCGCTCGGCAGAAAATCTCTCTCTCTCTCTCTCTCTCTCGTAATACTTCGTATAGCATAC